ATTGGCAGCTAATGCTACGCGCGAAGCGGTCGTGATTGTGTGAACTTTCACGACCCTTGAATGGCCTTTACCTATTTTGTGACATGATCGCCAGCTGTTTATGAGTAACATTTCCATTCTGCTTCTACCTTACTGTATACTCTGGTCAAGCATCTTGAATAATCCTCCATGATGACTTCTTCATGCGAACCTATGAACAGCTATATTTATCCTCGATCGGAATGGCCTATGATGCCAGTGCGCCGCCAGAAATGCATTACGAGGGTACCTCGCCCGTGTTTATTGCTTCAGCGCGCAAAAGCAAAACCTCATCCTATTCAAAACTATAAGTAATATTTTCAACAGATCATTAGACCGTACATTTCTAATTCATGTATTAATGAAAAGATTGGAAATTGCCATTCAATGAATTTTCTTTATAAACACATACAAACGCAAATCTTACGCATTTTTTGTTGTGAGAACGTAGAAGAAGACAGGTGGACCATTTGAGAAGGGTAGAGGAAGGAGAGGGGCATGGCAAACCTCTCGACGTGAGCGCCATACAGTTGGATCTAACTTTGAATCAGATCTAGAAGCCTTACGCCGTGCGCATCTTAAGCTCCGTCCAGTGCGACACTTGCGTCCTAAGGTGGCTGCCCCTTTATGCGACGCTAACTTCGCGCCGACGAACTGTATGTTGAATCAGGTAGTGTGATATTTTTTCCAAATGAAAGAGGGAGGCCGATATGTTTTCGAAAGTAAGCGAAGCCAACATGGTTTACCTAGGGAACGAATAAATTTGCATAAACTTGTGCGTATTATAAGACAAAGGTAATCAGGTGATAGTTTTCTACTAGGAGACAACGGTAACCATAATAAGGGGCTGCAACTCCTGCCTAGTTCCTTCTAAACAATTAACCAATATTCACTAGGCGCTATTGGGCGCACTGCAGTATGTTTCATTTGAGGTCTGCACTGACAATTGCTTAAACAAGTTATTATGCCGACAATAAACAGAAGTACAAAGATGTAATTGGAGTCAAGTTCAATTTTTAATTATTTTCCACATAACCGGTTTCGAGGGTGTGTAACTCTTTCATCAGTAGATCCCCGAGGAAGTTTCAAAAGTAACTATGAAGGAAATGATGTCAATAAGGAGTATTAGATAAGTGTAATATGCATTGTCACTACAACAAGAGTATGTATTATTCAAAATAAAGTATCTTGCGCGTAGTGACCCTGTGTCAAAAACTGTCAATGTGTCATTTTATTTGGAGTAAGAAATAAACTTGAGTATGTATCAATGGCAAGACTATTTAATATTGTCTTAGGCTGGATGCTTGTATACTTCCATATTTACTAGTCCAAAATCAGTAGTTAATTATCATAATCCTAAGTATTAAATACCACTTAAAAATTCTCTTACTTTATGTATGAGAGGTATATGCACGTGTTTAGTCCATACTCACGCGATGAATATGGTCTATCCCTCAGAGAATGGCACCCTGACTAAAAAATTTTTTTCCCACCCATTATCCTTATTAA